ACAACTTTAAATGCAGATAGAGCCATAGAAAAGGCTCATAAGCCTTGGAGCATGTCAAGAGGACAACCAAAGCTATAAAGGGTCTGGAGCACAAACCCTATATGGAGCCATTCAGGGATCTGAGACTGTTCAGCCTTGAGAAGGCTCAGGGAAAACCTTATCACTCTACACAGCTCCCTGAAAGGAGGTTGTGGCGAGGTGGGGTCGGACTCTTCTCCCAGGTAACAGTGATAGGGTGAGACTGATGGCCTTAAGTTGTGCTGGGGAGGTTCAGGTTGGTTATTAGAAAAAAAACTTCTTCTCAGAAAGAGTGGTGAGACAGTGGCACAGGCTGCCCAAGGAGGTGGGGGAGTCACTGTCCCTGAAAGTGTTAAAGAACCATGGAAATGTGGCACTGAGGGGCATCGATAGTGAGCAGTATTGGTGGGTATGGACTGGGCTTGGATTAAATGATCTTAGAGGTCCTTTCCAACTGTAATTATTCTATGCAAACTCATCAAGAAAAAGGAGGATGGACTTAACTGCTTAATTATTTGAATGATCTACAGGATATAGGGCCAAGAATCACAGCATGATCTGCAGACAACCCCCTCCCAAGAAGACAAAAACTTCAATTCAAGTAAGTCAACAACACAAAGATCAGAAATATGGAAGGGGAAAAATACGTATGTTCAATGTGAAAATTGCTGACATCTGAAAACCTGAGTTCTAACTAAATGGAAAGCTGCAACCTGGAAATAAGGCAGAAGTCAAAGGTAATTTTAATTTCCAGTGTAACAGAGTGGAGAACAGAGGAGCAAAAATTTAAAAAGCCATTTTGATGATAGTAGGGCAGGAGACAATTGTGCAGTTCCCCAGCAGAAAGTTATACAAATGTCAGGGGAACCTGAAGCCAGCTGGGGGAGCTGCAGAACGAGAGGCTGCTCCTGCAAAAGGTCCTGCAGGAATGGGACCAGACCAAAGGGATAGAATGAAATGCTAGCAACAGGAAATACTCCTAAAGAATCAGAAGGGCTTTTTGCCTGATGGGGAAAGAGCAGTGCAAGCCAAAATAAGAGAGCAGCTGAAAGGACTTGGATATTTCATGAAAATGAACTGCCTCAGAAGGGAGTGGTGGTGTGAAAATACTGGATGCCCATGTGATACAAACCAAAACAAGCCAGACAAATGCGCATCCCAGGAAAAAAAAAAAAAGAAAGAAAAAGCTAAGTCAGACAAGCTGGAGGCTGGGCACATGCACACCTGTGGGCAGAAAGGTCAGGAGGACATTTGGTTGAGAAAGCCAATTTTGCAATACGGATGGGTACAACTGAATTATTGCCATTATGTAACAGCAATGTTGAAGAATCATTATCCCGATTGCCTCTTGTGTTGCACAGAGCCAATCAGCACTGTCACAGCCAGCACAGAATTAAAGCAAAGCATTGGGAGATCCTGCAGGCCAGCTTCCTCTCAGGCTAAAACCGAACAGGCTCCTAACACCTGAGTGTTTCATGAGCAAAGACACAGTGCAAATTCAGTGCAGCTTGACAAGCCACAAGAAACTTTCCTTTTCAAACTAACAGAGGAGAGATTTAGTTTGAATATAAGGAAGAAATTTTTTGCAGTAAGGGTGGTGAGACGCTGGAGCAAGTTGCCCATCCCCAGAGACACCTGAGGTCAGGCTGGATGGGACACTTGAGCACCTGATGGAACTGTAAGTGTCTGTGCTCTGTGCAGGGGGTTGGTACAGATGGCGTTTAAGGCCCCTTCCAATTCAAACAATTCTAGGATCTTACGAAAACGTAAACCAGGCATGCCAATAGTCAGTTTACAGCTGTTTAGCATATAAAGACAAAACTGTTTTTAATTTTAGAGAGTGAGATAGAAAATTTAAAAAAAAAAAAAAAAAAAAAAAAAAAAAAGCATTTCCTATTTTGGATATATTACAGCTGAAGTATATTAGAACCACAGAAAGCAAAGGAAGTAGTCTATTGCAAGAAAATATTTGTTCCTAAGAAAAGAACGATATAATACCCAAGTGCTCTGAACCTGCAGACATTAATGAAATAAAATCATACAACTTCATGTCCAGTGGTATTTCTGAGTTCTATCAGGCTCCACAAACTTATCTGAATGTCATTGCTTTCTACTGACTTAACACAGAACAACAAACATGCAGGTCCTGTCAGATTGTCCAGGCTTTCAGATGTACAGGGAGCATCAAGTAAACATGTCTGAGAAATTACTGATAATGTCAGGAGATTCTTCATGGGCAGCGTTAACAGAACAAATCAGCGTTACTGATTTGTTTAAGACTTATTACAAGCATTAGCAAACATCAGAGGTAATGAGTGCAGTTTTTCAATTATTTAATTTAGGAAAGGGAAATAGAACATCAGAGGGGAGTAGCCAGGCTGCACATCAAGCGTGCATCAAATGGCACATCAGAGAGATGCAGCAGTTTGATGTCTGAGGCTGTCTGGCCAGGGCTGTAGCCCTTGCAATGACATGTACTGCACAAAATACAGAGTGGCTTCTGAAATATATTTTCTAATATATTTTCTTGCTAAGGGATGTAGATTTTCCTACTTAAAAGGAAGGAAAAAAGCTTGTTAATAAAATACGAATACCTAAGCTTCCTCCTAGATGGTAGTGATTAACCTTTTAGCTTTATAGCATGATTCTTTGCTTGGAGAAAGTGTGTGTTCACACAAGCTTGCCTTTAGCCCATACGTGCTTGCATATTTTTAGGATAAGAAAGTTATTATCTTTGCTACATACACTTCACAGTCAGTGATATGTAATTATGATGAGTCAACAACTACCCTCCAATCTGAGTACACATATGCACATGTCAGATGAGATGAATATTCACCAGTAAGAAATCTCTTCACAAAAATGTGTCTGATGACCTCTCTTCCCCCTCTTCCCAAACACCAAACTAGTTCTTACTAAAGCTTTATGCAAACCTCTAATGCAATTCTGCAGCTATAGAACAGAAACACTGTACAGAATACAACCCTGGGCTTGTGTTATGCAGACCAGTAACAAGAGAAATGTTTTTGATACTTTTGTGAGAAAAAAAAAAGTATTCATAAGAGAGAAGATAATCATTTTTCATCTCATAATCATTTTCAGTCCTGACTCAAGAACGCTACACGCCACATTGCAGCCAGCCGCTGGAAGAAGAAATGCAGTTTCTACCCCCAGATCAATTAGGAAACTTGCTTGATGGACATTGGATGTTGTACTAAAATGCTTTTATTTCCTCACATGAGGAATCATAGAAGGGTTACTCCACATTTTCTGTTTCAAGAAGAGCCAGCAAAAGGAGAAAGAAGCTGGCAGCCCAGGCTCCTTCTGTCCATGCCTTCTCACACCCTGCATTGCACGTCCTTGTCTTCTCCCAGTCAGATGAGAACGGCCATGCAGCCAGCAGGCCCCTGGCTTATTTGGACAACCATTCCTTTGCACAACTTGCAGCTTACTGGCATCTCCAAACAGTGCTGGGCTCGGCTTGTCCTACAGCAGTACACTCAGAACTGCCTGGCTTCATCCTCCTGCTGTCTGTTAAAGCACTTACCCAGACTCAGAGGTAGCACCTCTTCATCCCTTCCTAAAACCTGTACGCTGACACTGTATCTCCAGAATACCAGAGACTGCAGCAAAGAGACATTTATTACACTTGGCAGACTTGGCAAAGGGCCACCCAAAATGCTGAGCAAATAGTTATGACCACCTGATTCAGTGCTTCCATTGGAAGAACCAAAGAACACCACAAACACAACCTCTACAACTTGTTTTTATCTTGCCCTATTTAAACAGGATAAAGATCCAGTCTTTGCTGTGAGCCCTGGCTACTTGTAATGTGAGTATTTTAACAGGAAGGAGCAGACTGATCACATTTTACAATCGAGTGTTTAACATAATTTTATCATGATTAAAGCATTATGCAATACCTCCTTGGAGTATTTTCTTTATAATAAAGGGGTTGGCTGCAGAACGAAACTTGCACAAATCGACTTGAAAGTCATAAATTCCTTAATCAACAGGTTCACATTATACCCAGAGCAACACACAGATCCAAGAGGCACTCCACGACAACACTTTAGCAAACAATCCTGTTATTCATGGATGACTATAATAGGGTGATTACTAACAGCTGTTTGCAATCTCATTACATATGGAAAAGCTTCAGAAAAATGACATGAGAAACACCCCACCTTATAGTAGAGCTGAACAGAAAATGATCTGCAAAGCTGCTTAACCCCTTCCAAGTCCTGTTGTCTTTGTTGCTCACCTTATAATCCCCACCCCAAAGGCTCACCCTCTATAGCTTCAGACCACTCAGGCGCCAGTTTTGCTTTCCAAAGCATTCATCAGGTTAAAATTCACACAATGTATACATTAAAATATAAATTAAAACTATTAAACCACCTCTAGATGAAAGTGTTACACGTAGCCTACAAAAGCACTGAACTTATGCAACCAGAAAGTAAGTGCTAACATAGAATTATTAAGGCCTTATATGGGTATGATTGCCCCCAAGTACAAGAGAACATATTCTAGCTTTTGAATGATTTTAGCCAACATTAAAAACGTAATTAAAGCATTCCTGATGCAAATGATAAGTTCATATTCAAAACCAGAGTGCAGAACTCCATCTAACACCTAATTTGTTCCTATTTGACCGGTGTGACTCCTTTACTCTCTTCCTTGAGCCTAAGTTTTAATTAAGTACCCTTCAGCCAGCCAGATCTTTTTGTAACACTGTAATGAAGCGTAAGACCATAAAAGCACCAGGAGAAAAAAAAAAAACACACCAGTGTTTATTCACAGACAAGAAGCTAAGCAAACAAAATGTTGGATAATCTGCTTAGCGACCCTTCTTATAAGACAGTCCAGGGTAATTCTAGCTAACAGTGACATCGCTTTCTTTTCTTAAACCTCAAGAAACTAAAGAGGAATCTCAAAGCCAGCACTCTGTAGTTGTCATCCTCCCCGTTAATCCTACTCACGGGGCTCTGCAGTATCTGAGTGACCCTCTTCCTCTGCTCCATCATGTTGAAGTCCTGTCGCAGGTCCGGAGACATGTTCCTCTCCCGGAGGTACTCGGGGTCGTTCTCATTGATGCGGTCAAAGTACCTCTCCTTGTGGGGCATTGTGGCTGCAGGGGGAGAAGTGATCACCACCTGACTGGCATCGGTACTCATGCTTCAGCTCTGCGGATGGGAGTCCTCACCTGCAAAACAAAACAAAAGCAGAACATTTAAAATAATGAATCCAAAATGCGCGTTAGATATTTTGTGACAAAATCTCATTTTACGCCACATTCACCACTGCCCAAGTTTGTTTGTTTTTTTTCACTACAGCTCTCCTCATTGACACTTTTAGCTTCAACACAGCACATCCACAAGGCAGGGCCTGTCCTCAACATCCGCTCAGAGCTCTTCTCCCAACTCCAGCAAAGGCATTCCTCAATGACAGCATTTCCAAAGCATCCCATAGCTTCAGCTTAGAGAAATGTGTGCACTTGTAAGCAAGGATTCTCACCAATGTTCATTACATTAGTAACAAAAAAAAAAAACCTAAAACAAAACAATTTTCACATCTTAGTAGAAAAATAAGTCTAAAACGCCTTAGAAAAAAAACACAAGAAAACCAAAAAACAACCAACTGATAAACAAACACAAATAGAAAGTGGATCAAAAGCAGAAAATCAGACATTCACATTTTCACACAAAGAATCAGGCTCAGAAACCCCATTTCTCAACAGGTACTGAGAGGAAGGTTTTCTCAGGTCTGAAGAACAAAGAGAAGCAAGATTTGTAGGAAGAGATAGCATATTATGAAAATACGTTTTAACATGCAAATACCTACATTCAATAATGTATTTAATATAAGACTATTTGCATACAAAAGCATTTAGTATATAAGCAATTTACAAAACATCCAAATGGGAAGGAACACTGCCTGTCGAGCAGCGTTAAGTGATGTGGTTCAACTGATACCTTCCTGTTAGTGGCTCAAAGCATCCTTCCTTCGGGTCACTGCGGCTGCTCTTTGGGATATTGTGGGAGCAACAAACTGACGTGGCATCTGAAGTGGGACAGCTAAAACCTCCCACTACTTCAAGATAAAAACATTTGGGAGAATCCCATTAAAGCAGTTCCAGCAGCACAAGCCCTGCTGCCTGTGACGAGCCCTGGGAATGAACTGGGATGGCTTTGATACGGATATGTTCTTGGGTTTGCTGCTCTCCTGCAGCCTGAGCTCATTCACTTCCTGGCTGATCATCAGGGTCTGCCTGCAAGACTGATTAGGGGGTGCTGGGGAGAAGGCAAAGCTGGGTTTGGGAAAAATAACCTCTTTCAGTGTATGATCTTTTCCTATCACAGACTATTTAATGTCTTCTCATTTGTTCTCTGCTTAGGGCAATGTACTATAAGTGGAGGTACAAAATGAGCTAAGGTTTGCTGAAGAATGAACCATTGTCTTTTGCAGCTAAGAGCACTGATGCAGAAGGATAAAACTCTTGGGAGAGCATTCAGAGATGCCATCACAGCTCAACAACAATGAATTATGGCTTTTCCCCCAGAAAAATGCTGGGGTTTAAGAACGTAGGTTCTCATGATGTCTCCAAATGCCACAAGGTACTAAGAGCTGAAGATCGGACCTGTTCTCCATCCTCATGGAGATAACTGTCTCACTGGGTCAGAACAGACCTTCCAGCACCTCCTGGTAACCGAAATAACCAGAAATGCAGAAGACAAGCACCTCACTTGAATTGGCAACCATCTGCAACTCCTCCATAGATACTCTTCCCAGGAGTTGTGTTATCCAGCTGCTTTTCCTAAAACGCTCCTGACTCCTGTTAACTCTGAGTGGTAAAGGGCTGCCCAACTACCAACCCATTTAGATGGCAGGAACAACTTACACGCATGTCTGAGCTTCAAAGAACTTTTATTATTATTATGATTATTCTAAATAGGTTTACAGGACACAATTAGTTCAAGTCCGTTACTTTACAATGCAGCCTTACAGTGACAGAAAAGCCCATTCATCTGTGAAAAGACACAAATGTGGCTGGCAATACTTAAAATCCACAAAAGAGATTTTCTAATTGTGCTGGACTTCATTTTTTTCCTTTTTTCCTCCAGACTGGATGTTAAGATTTCAACATTAAAGTCCTTGTACTACAAAAAAACTCCATTACTGAACATAATATGGGTATTGGGTCCAGTTGTTCCTATTAGACCTGGTTCAATGCCTTCTCTGTTGGGTCTGGGCTGACTCTTGCATAACCCCTACTGTTTGGCTGGAAAACTTTCAAACAAATCAGCCATTCTTGTATTATTTATTTGTATCTTGCACTGATTTTTTTTTCTCCCCCCAAAGAAGGTCATTTGTTAAAACATGCTCTGCTTCTGGGGATCTAGGGATCTGTACCTCCTTCTCAGCACAGGACTGACAACGTATTCAAAGAAAAATGGTTGCATCCTTTGATACCCTCATATAGCTCATACATACCTCATAAACCTTATATAGCAGCCCCAGCTTCTGTATTTTTGACCTGTGACTAGGCTGCAGAAAGTAGAGCACTGCACCTTTGTCAGGAGGATACGCATCTCTCTACTTAGAAGTTTTATTTAACAAAAGCTGCCAATTAATTGAAATAACTTGGATCTGTGCCTCGTAGGCTGCAAGATTAAGTCCTGATCGTGCCCATCTGACACTTTGTAAAGTCTGAGTAACATGCTGTGCTGCTTTTGTTGGAATAACTTTTTTCAATGTCAAATCACAGAAGCAGCTCAAAAATAATAATGAGGTCAGAGAAACATGGAGCACTTAAAGAAAAAAAAAAAAAAACAGAGCAAGAGACCAAACGCAAGGAAAATTTCTTGCCAAAGAACATCCCAGAAAGCACTGACTTAATATATTCTTCATAACATACAGAACACATAAAAGAACAAATATTACCACAACAGAAAGACAGCAACAGAAAAGTGAGTAAATCATTAGACTGCCTAGCAACGAATCATTAACCTACCTTTTAGCCTGACTGTTCATGGCTGCATTCAGCCATCCCCCTTTTCTCTATGCAGTGCAATCCACCTGGTAGAGTTTCCAGCACTGCAAACCAGCAGCACACGCACCCCATAACTAACTGCTGGGTCTCATTTCAGGTCTGAGCACTCGGGTTAGATGAGACCACATCTCCTTTAAGGAGCACATTGTTTTATTCTGCTCTTGCTATTTCTCGTCTGCTTGTTTTTAAGGAACAGTCTGCTCTTTCTTCCCCCCTCCAGTATCTTGTCTGCCAGGAGACTTGTTGGAAGTGAGCTGGGTGTCTCTTGATCTCAGTTCCAGCCTCTTTGTGAATCAGGCAGGTTCCAGTCTGAATCAAAGACTTGGCTTGAACCAGCATGGTCAGCAATGCAAGCTGGCAGAAGGAAACATGCTTAAGGAATACAAAGGAATGGTTAAGAGGAACAAAAAAATAAGTGGGGGAATGTGGACTGAGATGAAGGCCACCATCACCACCATGTGACATTAGGAAGTCATCTTGCAATCCTCTCTCCTATAAATTTTAGCAACGATGTATTATTGAGTAATCACATCTGTTCTAGGACAAGAAAATACTTGAATAACACCTCAAAGCCATTTATTTCCTTCTCCCTCTTTTTTTTTTTTTTTAAAAAAAAAAAAACTTACTGATCAGAACATCTGACAATGAGCTGGCAGATTGCATTGCCCCTTATGTTGTATGAAGCTTAGATTTCATTTATCAGTCTCGCTTTATGCACTGGTAAGAAGAATAAGCTGTACATTTATACATGAGCATTCTCTAAAGGTAATTGGTGGCACCAAAAATACTAGGTAATCATAGAATGGCTTGGGTTGGTAGGGATCTTAAGGATCATCATGCTCTGACCCATGCCCTGGGCTGGGTGCCACCCGCCAGATCAGAGCCCATCCAACCAGTTCTTGAGCACATCCAGGGATGGGACACTGTGACATCTCTGGGCAGCCTGTATCAGGGCCTCACATCCCTCTGAGTAAAGAATTTTTTCCTAACATCAAACTTGAATTTCCCTCTTTTAGTTTGAAGCCATTCCCCTTAGGCAGTTAGCATTATGCAGCACTCAAGGAAGTCAAACTGTCAAATTATACCCTTAAATCGACACAAGGCAGGATTTGCATTTAAAAAAAAAAAAAAAAAAAAAAGCAGACACACCTCCTGCCTTCCCAGCCATGCTGTAATCCAGTCCTTCTGTCTCTGCCACCTCCTCCCATTTGTGCTAGCCAGTGTGTGTAAGGCTGCAGTGAGATGGGTAGGAAGCACTCCTCTTGCACACTGTGCTGCCTTGGCTGCCACTGCCAGCATGGTGTGGGCACAGTGATGGTCGCACCACAGCTCACCCTGGCTGCAGACTGAATGTTCAAACCCAGCATCACATATTTAATTTAAGCCCTTCTGCTTTTAAACAGAGGAAGCTAATGAAATATCCATCGTCTGCTGCCAGACATGACTTTAAGGAGACCTTGTGCTGGCAAGCATAAGCTCCTTCTAACTAAAAACATGGGTGTATCTGAACCTGGGTTCTGTTTTTCTGCATTAAATCTAAAGCATTATTTTTACATAATTACAGTATGTAGTATTAAAGTCAACATGAATACTCAAACAGCTCAACTCACACTTCACCCAAAAAATATAAATTAAAAAAAGTGTCCCTAAAACTTCACTTTAAGAGAATGAGGTCAGTCATCCACAGATATGACACTGGTTTGTTGTTTCCCTGTCCCTGTAATTCTTCCTTTCAAAGCACACCTTCCTCTTTGTATTTGCATTTCCTCCTTTTATTTATTTGCTTATTTTTAGTTGCAATGTATTGTAGGGTACCTGCCTTAGCAGGAGGGGTGGACTCAATCTCTTGAGTTCTCTTCTAACCTCCGAGATTCTGTGAATAAGTACCTGACACACTGCAATTTACCAGACAGTTCTAATTTAAAGGTGAGTTACGTTTTGCTTACATGCAAAGTTGACTTACATATATAAATGCATGCATATATTTTCAATTGACATTGAACTCCAGCTGGGGCTGCCACCTCAGCCTGGGAACACAGGGTGACCACCCTGCAAAACTGTGTGGAACCACTGCGTGCCAACCTTTTCTGAGGCAATTCAGAAAATCATCTCCTTAAACTGAGTAAATGCTCCAGACCAGCTAATAAATTAAATCATTTGTAAAGCTGTAATTAGCTTCTGCACTTACTTGACTTGAAAAGCATGCCAGTGCTACCTCACACCCACTCTTCCTCTGTTTTTCTTCCACCTGCAATACTACAAAGCTCAAGAACAAACACAGTAAGACTGGACTTGAATAGCATTACATTAAAATTCCACACTTTGGTAAGGGATGTGCCTAAAGCACCTCTACACCTCTCTTGTTTCTATGCCATGGCATAGAAGCAGCAGCCTCCTGCAACTATGAGATGGAGCCCAGCAGAGCTGCCAGGGAGAGCTGATCCCACGGCAAGTGTGAACAGCTGCTCTCACAGCCCCACTGAATGGCAGTGATGGATCTGAAATTGATTTTTCAATTTTTTTCTCTCACTTTTACATTTTTCTGTTATTTGATGGAAGATGAATTGAACCTTTGCAAGAAGCACCCTCCTATCCACCACCAGGAATGACCACAGCAGCAGAACTGCTGCAGAGCTTCAGCTCACTGAGCTGCACACTTTCTGAAGCTGCATTCATTCCCTTGCAACAACGAGGGCTTCTGCAAAGGAGAAGGATCTGCAGAGATCACCTGATAGAGCAGCAGTAGCACTGGTTTCCAGATGAAGAGAGAAGAACCAGTCCTTTCCCAGTCTCACCTAGGAGCTCATATATTATGAAGAATGAACTGCTAATCCACGTTTAACCACTTCTAAAAGTATATTAAGAACACAGCTACTACTGTCATCTCTAAAGTGTACTTCTGGTTGATGAAAGCACACAAACATGCATATCACATCAGTGTGTGGGCAAGGTGGGCCCACGCAGAGGTGCAGCCCCACACAACGCAGGGCTCCAACCCTTTGTGCACTCCTAAGCATGGCCAAGGACAAGGGCGAGCCCTGGCAGCCTTTTGGTTGTCACTGACTGTTTTTCTATGGGTGACAGCATTTACCCACCCACGTCAAACCCGTTTGGATGCTTGGAACAAAAGACATAAATATTATTAGCAAATATGTACATGCTACAAAGAATCTGTTGGTGATCTCAGTACTAAGTAATTGGGTATTAAGGTTTTTATCCACTCCCAACGCTGCCTAGCGCCTTAGAGTATTGGTATCAGCAAGGGATGCAAGTCAACTTACAGTGCAAAAACCAGATTACCTGTGTTTGACCTTACTTAAATCATGGGACAAAAACCCTCAGAATAATGACAGGAAGCTATAACCCCAAAGGAGTATTTCCATTTTATTCTGAAACCAGAAATGCAGATAAGACATCAGCATCTGCTTTCAGTAAGAAGAATTGCTTTTCTTTTTTTTGGTTTTAAGGATTCTGATGAAACCTTGGCAACACACACACACTGCAGCACCAAAGCAGTTTCAATTTTTGGTTCTTTGGACCTAGCTCATGTTCATGCTGCAAACCAAAGGAGGTTTAGAAACAACCATCATCAAAGAACACAGTATATCACAGGCAGAGAAGAGAAAAAAAGACTGTATTTTAAAATTCATATTGTTTCAAAGATATGTGGGACTTCAGTAATGAAAAAACTAAGTACTATTTTCCAACACATTAAAACACAATAAGAAGCTTTTTTTTTCTTTTTTTTTTTCCCCCCTCTAAAAGACTTATCTCTGCTTATCTACATAATCACTTGTGGCTAAGTTACCTAAAAATATTTCACGAGTCAGTAGACAACAGAGAGCTAAATTAAAAGATTATGTTCTGGTAGCACTTATCCGTATTAAGCTGTGAAAGTACGCAAACCCACACACACACACACACACACACACACACACACACACACACACACACGAGCAAGGGCTGAACAATCTCCTTAAATCCTTTGGAAAAGATGAAACCTAAGTTCGTCTGCAATACAGACTAAAACTTATCTGTGAGAAAAAACAAACACATTTAGTTGGGAACGCTGACCGCAGTCAAAACCTTTCACATTTTGCAGCACTCTTCACCTCCCCCTCTGGTAACTTCACTGCAGCTTCCCTCTGAATGGTAGCAATGCAGGAATAAAATGGAATTCATCACTCTTTATGCTATCATACAGATAAAAAAAAATGAAGTTAGTAATGGAAATTTTTTTTTTTAATTCCACTGATTGACACCATCCTGGAAAGCACCATTCGGAGCAATGAAGGCTGCTTTGCCGTCTGCACGAGCCCTCATTCACTGGTACAACATGTGACATTAGATCACAGAGAAAAATCTTACAGATCCCAGGGCACATCAAAAGTCTTCTTGATTTATGACAGTTTGATTATTCTGAGAAATGCCATGGCCAAAGCAGCTGCCTCCGGGGTTTGGATGAGGGGTCAAAGGCTGTGATGATGGGCAACCCCAATGATCGACACGAGGCAACTGCTGGATTTCACAAATGGTCTCAGGGATGGCAGCATGTAGCCAAACCTTTTTATAGCCCAAACCTCTGGAGCTCATCCTCTTCACTCCAAGCCCTGACCTTTCCCATCACCGATACCTGAACGGCAGCTCAGCAAGGGCCTGATGACCACGCACCGACCCTACAGCGAGGAAGGGGAAACCCAGCCAACAGCTGATCTCAGCAGGGACATTTGTAATTGGAGACACCATGAAACTGTCAGCCCTTCGATCATAAAGTCTTCAAGACAAATTGTATCTTTATTTATGTTATGCACCACACCCTACGTGATTCTTCCAGTTCATCTCAGGATCTCTGAATCACTCCACTATAAATTTTAAATAGGGAGAAACAAGGGAAATAGGGAAGCCATATAAATAGACTGATCCCATTGCAATTATGTAAAGTAAATCGGCTAACTTCTCCAAAGAAAAGAAGTTAGACATTTTGCTGATCTGTACGTATATTTCCACATTAAACAGAAAACAACAGCACCTAAAAAAGCTGATTTATGATATAGTAAAAAATTAAGAATATTTTAGATAACACAGTGGCATATATTTATTTCATGTATGAAGAATGGGCACGGGGGAATGATCATATGCATGTGTGTGTGACTATGTATATATATATATTGTCATATACATACATATATATACATATATATATATATACACACACACACACACACACACACCTGGTATTGAAAAATAGTAATTTTAGAGATCAATGAAAGTATGGAACAAGTGATGGCAGCCAGCCCCAGGCTGGACTTTGCAGCAGGCACACCATCACTAAGAGAAGCATGGAAAAATACGTAGGCATTTCCCTAGAATACAGGCAGAGATTTACCCTAGGAAATGCTCCACAAGAGACCTACAGACTGAAGAGAGAAGGCACAGTCAGTATGAGTTTAACAGCTTATATTATTCATTGGACAGCATGGGGGAAAAACAAACAAAGAAACAAAACCTGTAGTGTGCCATTCCCAAAGCACGCAGGCATTGTCTTTTCTCACTCCATTCAGTCTCCAAAGGATCTCGCTTTTCTCTTCATTACTGGAGTTTTGCCTCAACTTACGGTACAAATTTTCCCCTTCTTGGTCCATTTGCAACCACAATTAAATGTTAATCCGTGTTAAAATATAACCAGAAGTTAACAAACACAAAGCATTTAATAGAGATTGTCAAATACTTACAAAAATCTCATCTGTAGAGGACTTAACTTGATAAGCACACCTTATGATACGATTTTTCATGCTTTCTTGTCTGGCTTGAGGTGATCTCACCCTTCTAACTCCTATTTCAGCTCTCCAAATGCCATCCCCAGCTGTGCCAGCACATCTGTCCATGAATTGGATACCGAAACAGAACAAGGTTAAAGATGATTTGGGAAAGGGTGGCAAGGGAAAGTATGGAGCAGAAGGACACATGGAGGTGGAGAGGGCAGCCAGGACCTCCTTTAGGAAAGTTCAAATGACAGCTATACTTAATTAGCCGATTCAAAGCATCTTGCTTTAATTATCCTTCTCTGGGAAATCCCTAGGATTTATGGTGGTGCAGGAACACTTCTTCTGCTTTTACTCACATTTCTAATACTGTCTTCAGCTGGCTTCAAAATAATTAAGGAATACTTGACTATCAAATCCAACGAATTTCCACTGCAATCAAAGTTTTACCTACATAAATACGCACATTAATCTCAATTGACTTGGCCCACATTTGACCTGCTTCTTTTCTACGGCACCTTCTGCAAACAGTGCTAGAAGAGCAGATTGAATTTAGAGAGGCAAAGGTCTTATATACCTTCAGGAATGGAAAATTACTCAGCTGAATTTCAAGGCAGCCAGTCTGAAGTCAAATGGTCATTTTGAACTTCACCACAGCATTGAACAGAGGAACAGATGTGCCCAGAGCAACAGTCAGCATACTCCTAACGAGTGCTGAAGATTAATTACCAAAGGCTTTGGTAGGGTGAGGGGTGTGGTGAGTCAGTGTTCAGCACGGTATTCTTTAGGATGGCAAAAGCAGAATGCATAAATACTTCATAATTAGATTACTATTATTTTCCAGTTCAAGCAAGCACTTCCCTACTTTAATTCCATAATTTCCTCCTCCATCATCACTTGTGAGCACTCAAAGTCTGGATAAAATAGGAGATGCTGCACAAAGTATTCCAATATCACAGCGTGGAGTTGCTCTGCATACCGTACACAGTCCTGGAGACAGGCAAATATCTGCAGTAGTTGTTTCTAGAGTGCAAAAGCAGCCTGACAGCTAAAACTGGAAATTTACACCATGTTGCCTTTCACCTAAGTAGTTGCATGAACCCTGAATACAGCTCGCAGGTTTTCAGGTCTGATAAGGAGTCAGACCAACATACCAGCAATAGAATTTCCTAACAGCCAAGGTGGCCCCAGCAAGCGGCTTCTCAAGATGCTTACTTTCTACTAAAACACCGTCATGCAAATAAAGAAAAACAACTTCTTGCTTTCTGCTAGAGAAGGAAACCAGTCTCTTAGATGAGCCACAGCACCAGCAACTTGGACATGCAGTGTCCGAGACCAGGTCAGGGTCACACATGCAGCGTGACTCATGCTCCTGCTGCTCCTTCCTCAAGCAATTCCTCCATTTCTGACTTCCCCCTACTTTTTGGTTTATAGTTTCAAGAACATACTTAGGCAAACAAATACATTAGATGGATCCATCTGTTAGATCCAAAGATTTCAAGATAAGGTATTAAGAAAAACCTCATAAAATAACTTAGAAGTTGTTTTATTTGAATTTTCTAACCTCATTTGTGTACCTACCCTGAAAAACGATATTTGCCTGTTTGCAATTAAACCTGCTTATGTCTATGCTGAAAGCTAGGATCAGGAGCATAACCCCTGGGTAGAGAGTTCAGAATTTGTGAGAACAGAGAGGTGGGGGCACATTCTTCTCTCAGTTATGTTGTTATGAAGCAAAAGCAAACAATGTAAAATTCAGTCAACAATCACTGCAGAAACGTCATTGTAATCTTACCTCTGCCAATGCCTGTTTTGAATATTTGAGAAACCCATGGAAATCATCCCAGGTAAACATGGTATTTTTCTTTACAACTTGAGAAAATTAATGAGAATACAAAAATGACAGGAAGGACACAGATTACACCTGCTTGAAAAGTGAAAGAAATCATATTCTCTGTGGCTTTCAGCCATCTTGTTCTCTTATATCTCAGGTTATTTTCAACATCTGCAAAAACCTGACACTGTTTTTGTTTTCATCAAGGAATTAGAAGCCTCCGTAGTAATGTAGGAACATGCCAGAAAATACCACAAAAGCTGTTTAATCAAGAACTGAACAATGATAGGTGATTAGATGCCTGCCAAAGGCTGCATTCACAACAGCACCCACAGACGTGCTGGAATGCTGCATCAAGCACTGCGCCCTTGCTGGCACTCATCTCCTGCTCCAAAAGGAAGAGCCGTCTGCAGGAGGGATGTTGTCTCCATAGTCTGGTCTGAAAGGCTTCCTGAGGGGTAACAGTAGATGCTTCTTTTGGAGGCACACTGTATTTAGACATTTTCTCTGTAATTAAGATGCATACTTTTATCTAGCTAAATTCTTGTGTTATTTTGGACGGCAAGGCTGCAGGATTTCTGTTTTTTATCATAATTACCAGGTAGCATTTTCAGTGTGCACTGGAGTAACTGTCTTCAGTGCCACTGTTGGGTTGTTGTGGGTTCTTTTTTCACTCCCTAACACAGCTATGTGTGTTATTATTTCTGCCTGCCTCATCAGTATTGTGTTCTGTGATAAATGACCAAAGTGGCTCAGTTAGCACTGCAAAGCAGTCAGAAAGAGGTGAAGGAAAGCATGCAAAGTGTTGTGCTGAATGAACAGGCTTTTTCCTGTGACTTCTGGCTTCAAGCTCAGAAAGTTGAGATTGGTAATGAAAAACACTCCTACCTGGAGCACAGCCCTACTTCAGAGCAATTATACTGCACTTGAAGATAGGTCTTCATTATGTGTATCCTATGTTCATTCTCATGTTACACTGAAAGTGCTTTTTGTGATCGGGCGATCTGAACTACAAGAACAGTGGTTCCTCAAGCTCTACAATGGGTGGAACTACTCCAAGTGGTCCATTTTTTTTCCTTTTCTTTTTGAAGTTATTCTCAACTGTCACACTAATGAGGCATCAGATACAAAGCTTTGCTTTCAGTAATTATATATATATATATATATAAATATACATATATGTATGATACCTAAAATGACAGAAGGGACAATGATAACTAAGTAAACAAACCCACCCTTTCCTGGTCTCCTCCTCTGTAAAGCAGCAAGTAATGCAGCATGCCCCACCGCCCAAAGGTATGCAAGCAGCTCTTGGAACTAACAGCAAATCTCACCCCTTCATTCTGTATCAGAAACTGAGAATAACAACTCTAAGACAGCTGACACAGTATTATTTTCATCCACATATGGGACACACACAAGGAAAAGTAATTACCGAGTGCTGCCTCATTTATTATGACAGCACAAATTTTTTTTTCTTTTTCTTTTTTTTCCCAAAGCTACCTTGTTTGGAAATGCAATCAATGCCTTTTGGTTACTTGTTTGCATTAGATATACTCCTAAGAGGTTTTGTACATTTTGCATTAGAATATAAAACACATTAAAAGTGAGAAATAAATTTTTCTCTGCTAATTTTATTTTGAGTTTGATTATATCCACTTTGACTAACCTTTTCTCACTGCTCTATGAACAGATGGAATGAATAACTTTACACCTCTCCGTAACCTCAGCAGAGAATCCTACATCTTTATCTTCGAATCAGACATCAACTTATGTTATGTGTCAGAGAATTATTCTCTACATTTGTACCAAGCTTGGCTTAAAGCAGCCAGCAGGTTCAGAAGGTACGTGATAGGAATGAGTACGTGCACAGACACTGTGATCACAGAAGACCTTCTTTTCTTAGAGGAGATGAGCATCATGCAGCTACCTGGACTTCTTGCTGATGCATGACATGAACCCAGACATCAGGGCAGAACCCAGTTTGGGCAAAAATAAAATAAAATCAGCAACTCCCGTTATAATTAAGCTTAACATATGAATGAGGATACTGAGTACAGTTTTGCAAACAGGGACCATCCAGGGGGAATCTGGGGAACCATATCAATGAGCCAACATTCATATTTCCTTTAATAATTAGTAATATTTGTGCCCATGGCAGTAGCATTTCCTGAAATGTGAACAAACATTGCAATAGATGTATTTGGAAATTGATGTTTGTAGTATCAAGACAGCATGAACAATCAAAGCATAATGAACAGCATTGCAGAGGTTCACACTTCAGAGAGGAGACAAGCATTCAAAATTTTTCAGCAAGTGCCAGTGAATTATGGCCTCAGACAGTTGGTTCTACCTGAACAACAGAAGCACTGAACAGAATGGGGAAATGTAAGAGCAGAATTGCTTGAAGGTGATTCTTTCATATCCTGTTCTTCCATTTACAATTGCATCATTATCACTAACAAAAAGATAATTCAGATTGTGATATTTGAGTGATTCCATGTTTCAAAAAATAAATCATTCACTATTATTCTTGAAGCCCGTTTGACCTCAGTACAACCATGACAAACATTCAGTTAAAAAAATATATATATCTGAAGAAAATGTGTGCTCAGAGTATCAGTTAAAAAATATAACTGCTGTGAAATATTAAAGGAGAACACAAAAGGGCCTCTACAATAGTATAACCTTTGCCTCTGTGTGCTAGCATCACAGTTTACACAGTTTCCATGGAAACTCTCTGCAAACATATGAATGTTCTGGTTGCATTAGATGCTGAACAGAAAATCCTTTGTGACCATTCCGGATGGCCATGGCCAGTGCCAACCTCCCAGTGAAATAATGCCCCTCACTATGCCTTGCCCAGCAGGCTCATGACACACTCACTCACATGGTACAGCTGCTTCCACAGCTTGTTTTTCCATCTCTGAAAAAGAGAGATGTACATCGTAACTTCTAAATGTTTCTTCCTGCATCGAGGGAGCGCTTTGCCCCTGCCAAGCTGATGGCCAGCTCCCCAGGACTGGACCTGCCGATGCAATCCAAGAGCTGTAAAACCAGGGCACTGGCTGAGAGACTTGCAGCAGGCTCCGAGTCAGGGCACTGAGGAATACATTTACATAACGAGTAGGCAACTGCCCAAAGTGAACACCACAATTCTTCATTATTAAATATCTTGAGAAAAGCAAATTAAAAACAAACCAAACAACAACATGGAGACAGAACATTCTCAGGAAGCAACAGGTATACCAGTCCAGAAGA